TCTTGTAGCATGAGCCACACTGGAGTCTTGATTCTTTTTAGATGAAACCAAATTCCAATCCAAACCTTCTCTTCATTCCTCATATAAAATCTTCGTAAAGTGATTTACTCACCTTTTTACTTTCATTAATCCAAGTTCATGTGCAGTAGAGAAATCTCCAGCTCTATAGGCTGTATTAGAGAATCATTTTCTGGGATACCACAGACAGAACATGACATCTTATCTCATTGGATTATAACTATTTCCCCCCACTAATAGCATTCATGTATACTTATTGAGAACTTTATGTGTTGACTAACTCCATAAACTCATTTAAATTTTACAATTACATTATGATACAGATTCATATTTTACATATCAAAATGAAGTCACTCTGAGATAAATAACTTATCTACAGTCACAAAACACCCAACTGACAACACTAGCATTTGAACCTAAGTACTCTTAACCAATATGTTGTATGGCCACAATGGGGCATTCAGAGGGTAAGTGCCTTTGTTCCTCACGCTCCAAGGATTCTCTTAATGCTGAAGGGGTCTGACATGTTTAGGTACTCAACAAATAGTTACTGGATGAAAGAATGAGCCTCCTTTGTGATTTAGCATTTCTTGGATCTCCAGGTTAAACTAAGATCCTCAGTATTAAATGAATTTACCGTGAATAAGCCAATAAGAGGAAGGAAAAAACTGTAAGGCTTTTCACAGTGATGTCACCAACCCAAAATAATACAGTCTTGGATTTGGGAGTTAGACTATATGAGTTTTACCTCCTGTTCTTTGACTTACTAGTGGTGTTATCCTAGACAAGTTACTTAATCTGTTCTTTGCACCTCAGTGTCTTCAGCTGTAAAATAAGAATAATGTTTTACCTATATCATTGGCTTGCTGATATGCTACAAAGTTAAATAGATAAATGAGTGAAATATCCTTTAAAGTTTACTGAGCACGTTAGACACCATCAAAAAACAGCAAGGTGTTTGTCAAAGGGTACAAAGTTTCAGTTAAACAAGAAGAATAAGTCCTAAAGATCTACTGTACAAAATAGTGCCTATAAGAATTATTGAATATTTTTAAATGTGCCAAGAGAGTAGATCTTATCATAAGTGTTCTCATCACCATAAGTAAATAAATAGAGTGGGAATGAACTTTTAGAGGTGATGCATATGTTTATGATATGGACTGTGGTGATGGTTTCATGGCTGTATACTTATCTTCAAACTCATCAACTTGTAGGCATTAAATATGCAGAATATTTTGTATATCAATTACATCTTAATAAAGTAAAAAAAAGAAATATTATTATTTGTATTTGTTAGCTGCCATTAAAATAAGCATCAGAGATTTTAAATGACAGGTCTAACTGGCCCAGATAAATGAAGAGATCAGGTGAAATTAGTAGTACTGATATCAGCCCTTACATATATAAAGTGTTCTGCTATTTCATTTCAGATTAGTTACCTGATATTGTCCTTTGACAACAGAGAAAACATTCTGGTTAACACAGCTTTCTGGTGAAGAGGGAGCTAGGGAGTGAAACTATGATTGTTCCCACTGCATACTGAATTCCCTGAGTGCCGGGGAAGATGAGCCTCTTTGGGGCCCCATCGGTAGTGATGGTGGACACTTCGCAGCCAACAGTCACAGCTGAAGAAAATGGCTCTGACAGGAAAGAGAAACACTTATCCCTTGAGAGGAACACAAAGGTGCACTTGGAAAGCACCTCAGAGGGGAACCAGCGGGCACCAACACTCCAACTGCTCCCTTTGAGGCTCACCTCCTTGAAGCTCTCAGATAACTCTTAGTTGCTGGCATTCATCTAAAAATCTGTCCTCTTTCTGTCTCAGTTTATTACAAACCTAATTTTTTTTGTAGAAAAGTAGAAAATTCATTTTCCCAAATCTCACTAACCAGATACTAACAAAATTTGTGATAATCCTTCAAAATACTTGTTCTATACAAAAGTACAAATATTTAGCAATGACATGATATGCTAGTGTTTTATCCAAAACAAAAGTCAGCATCTATAATGCTATTTGATAATATGTACTTTATTTGAAAATATTCTTTTACATGGTTTATACAATCCTTTCAGCTATCCTGAGCTAGAAATCCATTCTGGCAGGACATGTTCTATTTTAATTAATACAGTTTGTTTTTATATTCACATTTTAACACTTGGGAGGTCTACTATATTTCTGTTCTCATTGTATGACTTTTTTAAAGCTTTTGAGGGCAGACAGTCTCATTCGTATAAGAATTTCAAACTAACTTTAAAATTATTTTGTTGAGCAATGGGGAAAGGATTCCCTATTTAATAAATGGTGTTAGGAAAACCGGCTAGTCATATGCAGAAAGCTCTAATTGGATCCCTTCCTTACACCTTATACAAAAATTAACTCAAGGTGGGTTAAAAACTTTTCAGTATTTCAGAAATTAATAGTTTCATATTGTTCTATCATATTTGGCAAATTTTATCAATTTTCAGTAATATTTACATTTAAGCCTTTGTGTTTTCTTGATCCATAATATTATTTGTGAATAATGACAAAATGGTCACATTAAGTTATCCATTCTATAAGTATTTATTGAAATTTAATATGTAATCTTACAATGCTAAATTCTAAAAGATAAAAATCTGGTTACTATAAAAGTTTTTTTTTTAATTGAGTACGTATTATACGCTAACCAGTATATCAACCATCTTACATACATTATCTTGAGACTTTATAAAAACCCAACAATCTAGTCATTTTAAAAACTCAATTTTAGAAATGATTGAGTCTCAGAGATTTTGGAATTTTCCAAGGCCATGATATGCCTTTCAAAAAATTTGCACTTATTCTAATATTAACAAAATAATTCATTCTTTCAAGAAGCTTGTAATTCAAATAAACAGCTATATGCAGTAAACAGAAAAGGACAGAATGGTTTCTAAATGCTGTATTATAATTCCACACAAAAAATAAAGCATAAAAATAATAGAATATATGTTTTATCGCTTTTTGAGGGAGGAGAAGCAGGTAGATAGAGGGCTCATAGCAAATGAAAGGCTGGAAATGTTTCACAGAGTGGATAACCCAAAAGCTGAGTCAGTGCCTGGCCCAGGGTATCTGTTTAATAAATATTATTTTGATGAATAAATAGACTGATGTACAGTTTTTAGGCACATGAGTGTGGAGAAGAATTTCTAAATAGAGGCTGTTAGAACAAAACTACAGAAGCATAAAGCAGCCTGTTGGTTCAGGAACCACATGTAGTTTAGTATAGCTAGAGCAAATTATTTTGGGGTGGGAAAAATGATTAAGAATAATAAGGCATAAAAGACACTTGCTGTGATGATAATATTAAGAGATGTGCTAAGGGACTTGATTTTTAGGCAATGAGAAACTAAAGGGTATGACACATTTTATAATCAGATAGACTCTTTAGAAGATCTCTATAGTTGTGGCATGGAAAAAGGAGAAAAGGGAATGGTAAACAATGAGATCAGTTTGGAAGACAATGCCATGTGAAGTGACAGGAGATAATGAAGGCCCCAAATAAGGTAGCAACAGTGGTGATATAGACACAGAGACAGGGTAAGTCAAAGTCTAATCAGAGTTGTCAGGATTTAGTGTTAATCACAGATAAAGGGATAAGGTAAAATAGCTCTTCCTGTCTCAAGTTTTACTACATTGGTCAAGGATTCCTACAAATAAATGATAAATAATTATAGTTTTAGAAAGTAGAGACAAATTATTTTATTTTAACCATAAAGTATATGATCTGACAAGTTAAGAAAATACACCGAAAAAATTGCTTTATTTTTACATAAAACACATTTTTGTTTCATTTCATCTTTTCTGAAGGCTATTGCCAACATAGTTTTTATTATTTCAGTCATTAATGTGATGAGTTGTATTAAAGAATTTCTTTTGGCAGGGCACAGTGGCTCACACCTGTAATCCCAGGACTTTGGGAGGCTGAGGCCAGTGGATCATGAGGTCAGGAGATCGAGACCATCCTGGCTAACATGGTGAAACCCCATCTCTACTAAAAATACAAAAAATTAGCCGGGCATGGTGGCGGGTGCCTGTAGTCCCAGCTACTCGGGAGGCTGAGGCAGGAGAATGATGTGAACCCGAGAGGCAGAGCTTGCAGTGAGCTGAGATTGTGCCACTGCACTGCAGCCTGGGCAACAGAGCGAGACTCCATCTCAAAAAAAAGAAAAAATAATTTCTTCTAAAAAATAGTAATTAATTTAATCCTACATGTATATATATATGTATATACAAACATACATATATATGTAAATCTCTCTCTAAAGATATATATATGTATTTCATGTTTGACCAAATAGTCTTCCTACTTTATTATTTTCTTAATTCTCTGTTACTATACACACAGACATACAATATAAATTATCCTACAAACTTCACCAACTTTTAATATTACTTAATTTTAAATAATTTAATATAATTTACATGCAATTACACTTATATCATTTTTAAACACTAAGTGGATGGTGCATGTTATATGAAATAAACAGTGGCATGCATAGTTATTGGGTTGTGGGGGTGTGTGTGTGTGTGTGTGTGTGTGATTTTAAGTAATATCTCTTTGACATAATACTTGGCAAAAGAATCCTTTCCCCCATTACGACAGTGTATCCATGGTAATCAGTAATTTCCTTTCTGATGATTCACATTAAACAAAAGATAATAGCAACATATTGTGACAAGATGAAGGATTAATTATGAGAATGCATATTCTTGGATTTAAAAAGAAGGAAATTAAGCAATTACTTTTTTAAAAAAATTATAGCCCAATTTACTTGGCAAAACCTGTTAGGTTTAGACTTAACTGTTGCCAGGATGCAACAACTGATAGCTGGAATCCTAATGGAAGGTCAGTGCCCTAAAGGATATTTAAAATGCCCTGTTGAAGCAGGTCTTGAAAACTCAAATTTGCGGAGTAAGGATAAACATCCTCTGAATCTCTTCTTTTCAACAAGTCTCCTGCTCAAATCCTGGTTGCCAGTAGTATTTTGCAAAGCCTCTGACGAATCTGTTTGGTTTTAATGGAATAGATGACAGGGTTGAGCATCAGAGGCACAAAGAGATAGATAAGGGACATGAGTGTGTGTACATACCATGGGGCATGCCTCCCATACCGAGCAGCTATAGACACACACACCATGGGCACATAGAAGATGAGAGCAGCACACATGTGTGACACACAGGTGTTAAGAGTCTTTAATCGCTCCTCCCGGGAGGCTATGGCAAGTACAGAGCAGAGTATGAGCACATAGGAGAGGAGGATGAGGGCAGAATCCAGGCCAAAGGTAAAGATGACGATGAATAGACCATACATACAATTGATGGTGATGTCGCCACAGGGCTGGCAGATCAGATTTGGATGCAGGCAGTAGGCATGGGAGAGGACATTGGCCTTGCAGAAGGGTAATCTCTTCAGAAGGAAAGGCAGTGGGAAAACCATGCAGAAACTGCGGAGAACAATGGACATGCCCATATGCACCACATGGGCATCAGTGAGCACGGTGGCATAGCGCAGCAGGATACAGATGGCCACATAGCGGTCGAAGCTCATGGCCAGCAGGATGCCAGACTCCACAAAGGAAAAGAGATGGATAAAGAACATTTGGGCCAGCAAGAATAAAAGTTGATCTCCCTTAAGTGGAAGGAAAATGTGGCCAAAACCGTGGGTAGTGTGGGAAAAGACACACCTAGATCATTAACTGAGAGCAAGGATAGGAAGTAGTACATGGGCTGGTGCAAGCTCCACTCCTTCTTGATAATGAAAAGGATACGGGCATTGCCCACAATGGAGACAATGTAGAGAGCACCAAGGAGCAAAAAAGACCAGTGTTGAGAGGTCTCCAGCCCAGGGAGTCCTGTCAAGATGAAATGAGGAAACCCTGAGCTGTTGTGGGAATTACCTCTCATGCTGGAACTCCTGCTTAGATTCTAGGGCCACTATCCTGTAAAGAAGACAAATATACAGTTTTATCCATGGTTTCTGCCTAACATTTTAAGACCCCCACATACTCTCAAGTCCCATAATTTATTGCATTAATACATTTAGTTCACCAGACTATTTATCCTTGCCTCTCCTAGTTACCAAGATTTCATGAATGGCCTGGGTTGTCTCAGCTTATCTGGCTGGCAAGACAAGTCCATTTGCCCTCCTTTTCACCTGCCTCTATTGGGCTCTTTGTCACATTTAAAGCTTTGAACTCTTCAATTCATGGGTATCAATTTGTTCAAGACCTAAGACAAAAACTCTTCTTTCCAATTACTACTTTTTCAACAATTATGCTGTCTTCCTGAGGAAATCACTTATTCACGAACAATAATAATTTCCTCTTTGCATTCTTTCAAGTTAATGAACTTCCACTACTCTCAGTTTCCCTGCTCCTATACAGTCTCTCAGTTAAATTATTTTATCCATTCATCTGGACAAAAGATAAATGGACAGGGAAATGTTCATTCGTGGAGATAATCTTCCAGACATTCATCAAGGTACATTAGACTTTTATATTACCATCCACTTTTTCATTCTTTTATCCATTTAGCTTGAGGCATCACTTTGCTCTCTGACTAATTTAATTTGATTAAAGTAAGTTTTTAATAATTTATTTTATAACCAAATCATTTCTAGCTTCTAAATGCCCTGGGGTTAATAATCATTTCTCTACACCACAGAATTGCTTTTCATCTGTGTTCACTATCTCTTTGAACAATATCATCATTGTGCCCAAGATTGAGATTTTAAATCTAAATGTAACTTTGATTTCTTCTTTTGCTTTACCTACTACATTAAACCAAGTAAGACCTGATGAAAAGACCAAACCCCAAGTGCCTCTGTCAGCACCTTCCTCTATTTCACTCCACCTGCAGTTCCACTCTTTAGACTCAAGATATCACATGAGTATAGCATAATAAAGGCCTCCTAATAAATATCTTGCCGCTCTCTATTCATCTCTAAAGTAGAACTAATATTTTTAAACGCAAATCTGAAAATGCACTGTTCCTATTAGAATTGTTAAATGATCCCTCATTATCAAATGATAAAATCCAAACTCTGCCTAGAATTAAAAACCCTCTATAGTCAGTATTTCTCTCAATATTTTTTGCCTCAATTCTTAAAATTATCTTTCTTATACCTCAAGACACACAGATCAGTCTACTTGCTGTCATCTATGTTTGACCTGCTGCTCACCAGCTCCCAAAGGTTGCCCAGACTGTATGAATATACCCATTCAATCCATCTTCCAGGACTGAGGTCCAAGGATGCCCTCCTCCATGCGTGTTTGACCACTCATTGTCAACAGAGGTACCTTCCCCATACTGCTCACAGATGTAGACTTGTATCTCCTTTGTTCCATTCTTCTGTCTACCTTACATTATAGCTCTATAAATTTTATATATTCTTCTGTCTCACCAGCTTCAAAAACTCCACTGTCACTCTTATTCAGTCCCTGCTATGCTATGGTTAGTGCTGGGCTTGTCCAGGAGAGGTATCGGTAAGTCATTTTCTGAGTTTTGGACTCTTTGCTGTAAACTGGAGATGCTAGGAAATTTACCTAATGGGAATATGAACAGCCGAAAGTAAACAGTTATAAAATCTTTCAGGACCAAAAGCTTTTGCAACTCTGAGGTCTAAAGCTTCTCTACACCCCTTATTTTTCTGGTTGTCAATTCTATAAATGAGTAAGTATACCAATTCATAGTCTAGTTTGAGAGACTCCTAAGGAAATATAACAGTTCAATTACTCAAAAGTTAAGAAATACAGGAAAGATTTTTAGGAGAGAACAAAAGAGGGGAATTTGCAATATTCTAAGGCAACTTTCCATCTGCCTTTGCTTCTCCATCTGCACTCAGAACTCTGCTACCCTTCTTTCTAAGAATACATTTTTTTTCTTTATTCGAGATTCTTAGGATCTCTTTGTTTGGCCTACCTGCAGTCTTCCACTTTTTTTTTTTTTTTTTTTTTTTTTTGGCCTCTGTATGCAATATAAGGATACCTCTGATTTGGAGTATTTGAACACTAAATAGGGTCCTGCCAAGTGCCTTCTAAAACAGAATAAGTGCATTTATATACCCCTTGATATGAGAGTTTTCTGAAAAATATATGTGGTGCTTATTCACACCAAAGCATCTACATACAAAGTATAGCCTGACAGGGTATCTTTTCTGAAAAAGCAATGTGTGAAGCAGAAAGCATGGTGAAATTTCAGAAACCAAGAGCAACAGATAGAAAGCAGAGCACTGGAATGGTAATGGAGATGAGCACATGCAGAGAACACAGGAAGCTGACTCAGATTAGGGGCAACCTTTCTTCTGGTTGCATGAGTCATCAAAAGCACAGAACTTTCTCAGGCTGGAAACAGAAAGATGTGGCAGATAAGTCAGAAATCTAAAGCATTAGAGACCCTCAACACACGTTACTTGAAGACACCAAATAAACCACAAGAAATAACGTGGGCAGCTGCAGTAATGTGGTTAGGAGCAAAGGCCAAATGTCATCTGATACCCAGCAAGAGGATGGAAACATTATCCTACAATCAAAGAGAAACAAAATGAACCACGAACCTAAATGAGCTTCAAGCAGATTCTTCCCCAGTGCTCCCAGTAAGGAATGCAGCCCTGCCAACAGCTTGATTTCTGGCTTAAGAAACCCTCAGCATTTAGGGTTCTAGATTTCTGATTTACAGAAACTACAATATAAGAAGTTGTTTTAGGCTGACCACTGTGTAATTATTTCTTACAGCAGCAACAGGGATTAATACAGTGAGCCTTAGGCAAAAGAAACAGGACAGGCAGAGAACAAAGGATTATTCCTGACAGATAATAGCAACACAAACACAGGTATGAAGGTTTGAAAATGATATTGGAAAAGCAGAATTAGTGGCAAGACAAGGAGGATTCATAAGGCTTAAAGAGTGAGTTAGAAATTAGTGAGATATCCACCTACAAAGAATATGAAGAGTGACCATGGCGGGGGCAAGTATAAGTGAACAGGGACTTTACCACCATTGCTATAAGCAGAAGAAAGAAAACCCACTTGGGCTTTGTGATAGGAAATTGAGAGTTCTTGTCTAATCAGATCAACATTCAGTTGAGGAAAGGAGGGGAAAACAGAGTTATAGAGAAATTAAAAACATGTTATCCAATTTTAAAATAGCTTTCTAAATAAAGTATGAAGGAGGAAGACCTTTAGCAAACAAGTGATCTGGGAAACAAAATTTCAGCCCAGGAAAGCAGTTAGGCAAAGCCCTTAATGATAGCTGCATTACCAGGCCTGTGAAGCAACTCACCGAGTCTGAAGCAAAGGAATAACTTGGTTCAACTATTGAGGTCAGGGGAAGATGACTAAGAAAATTTAAAAACTCTAATGGAAGATTCGTGTGAGTAAGAATATGAACAGATTTGAGGAAATAATAAACTCAGTGGTTTCAGTAATTAACACAAATTGTAACGGACACTATGTACTGGTCATAGATGCTTCCATATTTCCCATTTTATAACTTCTTCTTTCTCAAACTACACACCTCTCTTACCCTGCTCTTACCTCCAGCTTATGATCTTATCTTTTATTTCAGAAGAATGTTAATTTTAAAATTGTTCTTTCATAGTATTATAATCTATTTTAGAGTAAAATATTTTAGAATTTCATAATTCATTGAAGTATAAAGAGATTGCTGATATATAATTATATGCAAATATAATCATTTATTAATTTATTCCTCACTAATTTTGTGTTTGGTATATTGAAGGCCCTGTGTTAGAGGCTGAAGATTACAAAGACAATAACATATGGTATCTGCCCAGGAGTTGCTTACAATTCAGTGGAGGACACAAGGTAACCACATTAACTGACTTAATTACAATGGGATTATTCAGAGTATAGTGAGAACATAAAGCAGGTAGAAACAGTTCATTTAAGGTTCAGGAAAATCTTAGACAAAATATTCCTTTAGACTATGACTTATGCATGTAGTATTTTAAAGCTGAACAAAGAATGTTGCTTTTATCCTCATTGAATAAAAACAGTATTAGTAAATAAGCTGTACGTGTATATTACTGCACAATTTTTAGAGCAGTTTATTTTGTTTTCTCTTCAGAATGAACCTATGAGGTAGATATATCAAAGATTGGTACCACTTTTATAAGTGAAGAAATTAAGACCTAGAGAGGATTATTCCACTTATTCAGGATTTCACCTCTCCTTTTACTTCCCCTTACAGGGGAGATTATAGGGCACAGAGGAAGAGAAAACATTTTCTGATATGAAACCCTGATTTGAGGAAAGTCATTATTAGTTCATATGTTCATTCATTTTGTTCACTCATTATTTCCTTTTCTTGTTCATTCATTATTTTTTATTCATCCATTTTTTACTTATTATTTCATTATTACTTTAGCACCATCAGCTGCTATCTAAATGGAGGGCCCATTGTGAGTCTAATGTGGATGGAAAGAGTAAAGACAAGCTTGCTGCCTTAAGGAGCTCAGATTCCTTCAGGGCAAAGCAGATAGACATAAGAGGGTCAGGGAAGGGTCACAGGAGGGAAATAAGTAAAGGCTGTTGAGTTGGTAGAGAGAAGCGCTTACGTATTTCAGAGTCTCCTATGTGGGAAAGCAAACAAAACAAAACATACCAGGAATCCTAAAATCTAATTCTGACTACTAAAGTAGCATAGCTGTCTAACTCCAAAACTACAAAACCTTTCAAACACCATGGTGACAAAGGTCCTGGCTTCTGGCAGCACCAGAAGTCAACCACTCATGTTAAACTTGCATGTTGGTAGTTGTGTATACATACTCCATAGTTACTCCTAGCCCTTCCTCTTTTTCAGAGTTGTACAGGGCCATAACCAGAAGTCTCTGCATGTCCTCCAGAGAATGATCCCACCCTGCAGTGATGGTCAACAGTCTCCTG